GGGTTATAGTTTAATCTTGATTTAGACCTTAGAAGATAGGGACCATACCATGGAGGGGGGAGGGGGGGGAGGGAGCCCGCCGGGGCGTGACCATATATGGGGTACACCGTCTGAGTCCTTGCGTGTTCTATCCTGTTTCATGCCCTTTGCGCAAACCTTTCGAAACTTGAGTCTGCCTTAGCAGGCCTCGGAGAGTCCTCACGTCTCCACACCGGGAGCTGTTGTGTCAGACACCGTGCAGGCCGGCAAAGGATCCTGGAAGGATGTAGGCTTGGAGGTACATGGGTAGTCAATTAGCGATAGAAGTAGGTAAGCTGCAGTTAACCTGCGTGTTGGGTAGCTATCGTCCTGTTTGGAAGCACAACGTTTTGCCTTGCGTTTTGATACGGCCTGCCGGGCTAAAGCAATTTTGTTCATAGGGGTTCCTTAAAGCAATGCGTTTTTTTGTGCTGAGAACCTGCCTCCGCTAAGCCTTATTCCAAGAAAGTACATGGATGCTGAAGGCCGAACCTAGACCCCCCCAAAAGAATCCCAAACATGAAAACCCCCAAGACTGACCCCATTACCACATTGGCAAAACCAGGAGGCCACCGAGAGGCTCCATGTTGTGGATCCTAGGGTGTTTGGGAGCCTACACGCTGAATCTTGCGGCTTCTGAGCTTTTGCCAGGTGTACTGGGCTAATCAGAACAACGGCTACAAGCAGGGCGCGATTGCCACGGGTGCCTTGAGCTACCAAAGAGACACAGGGCCGTGTGTTGAGGAAATGAAGAAATGGGAATTTGGACGTTTAAAGCATATTTTAGAGACACTGCTATAGGGATGAAGATGGGATGCATTGGGCCATTCGTCGGAACCAGTGGTCCTCCCTTCTCAGATGAACGACAAGATTTTGACAAGATGCAGTCCCATTCCGGATACCTGGGCCCCAGACCATGAATCCGTCAATGAGCACTTGAGCCCCATACTGCAAACAGCGCACCGCGGACCCCAAACGGTACTGCTCAATCCTGGCCCGAGCTAGTCAGCGCATTTCCGATAAAAGACACTAGCTAGTCTTTGGACTGTCTCCAGAATGAAAACCTACAATGGCCAGCAATCCTAACGACCTAAATTGCAGCTAACCTGCAGTCGGCACTCCGTCTCGGACAGTACATATGGTGGCCCTCGCAGCCTGCGCAATCGCATTGATGCGCTGTTCACAGAAGCACGCTTCTCATTCGGACAAGCTTTGTCCAAGGCTTCGCAAACCCCGAGGAGAGCCCTGCTGGCGCTGCCAGGTCTAGCTTCGTGGCAGCGGAGTTAAAAGCGTTGGATTGTTTTGGGTTGGTTGTTTGGGTTTAGGGTTTAGCCTCCTGTCCTATCCCCTTAGGTTCAATTTCAAATGTAATGTTGGACCCGCTTTAGTGCGTACGACCCCCCCCCCCCAACCCCCCAAACAATTTTAGGACTCTG